TTCCTCCAAGTGCTGTTTGACCGCATGTCTCGGATTCTGGATCAGGTAGCCAGTGGGCCCAGGCCAGGAGAAGGCCAGGCTGGTGCCTCTGGGATCCTTCGAGAGCAGGGGCTGGCCACGGGGTTGCCTCCGTTTCGGTTCCTTTGCACCATAGCACCCCTGCCCTTTCTCCAGGTGGGAAGCCCCATCTCGCCCTTGCTCCACACGTTCTAACATGTTCTGGCCCTCAGCCCCATGGAATCCATGACACACACACATCACGTGAGCCTCCCACCCCCACACACGTTCACACTGGCCAGGCACCTTGCTGGGGGAGTGCAAAATGCTCACCAGCCCTGCCAACCCTCAGCTCTGGCCACTGTTCCTGTAGCCATACAGCCTGAACCTGCAGGTGACCTCGGTCCTGTCCCGGCTTGCCCTCTTCCCCCACCCCCATATCCATGAGTACCTCCTGGATCCCTACATCAGCCTGGCCCCCGGCTGCAGGAGCCTGTTCTCCGTGTTGGTGAGGGTAAGGACGCCTTGGCCCGAGGGAGTGTGCCCAGTGGGGGTGGAGGGGACAGCAGGGAAGGGGAACGGGGCAGGTGGTTGGGGGCTGCAGTGGGCACCCTTGCCAGTGCATGGGAAACCACAGACTCCCATGTTCCGCACGGTGTGGCAGAACCAGGGGATGGCCCCATCTGAGTCCCCTGTGGTTCCCGCTCTAGGTGATCGGGGACTTGATGCAGAGAATCCAGAGGGTGCCCCAGTTCCCGGGCAAGCTACTCCTGGTGCGCAAGCAGTTGATGGGCCAGGCTCCTGGGGAGCAGTGAGTACCAAGGGTGCCAGGTGAAGCCTGGGGGGTAGGAGGGCTGAGAGTGCCTCTGGGAAGGGAAGTGGCCAGCCACAGGGTCAAGCCTGGTGGATGCCCCAACCCAGCCATGCCCCCTGTGCCATCTCCCGTCAGGCTGGACCATCAGACCCTACTCCAGGGCGTGGTGGTGCTGGAGGAGTTCTGCAAGGAGCTGGCTGCCATTGCCTTCGTCAAGTTTCCCCCGAATGGTCCTCTCCAGAACATCTCCCCAGCCCCGGAAGGGCAGGTCTGAGCCAGGAGCAGGGCAGTGGGAGACTCCTGTCCGCACCTCTGCCCCAGAGCTGCCTCCCGTCTGGCACTGCCACCGCCACCATACTCCCCTCCTGGGATGGGGGCTTTGGCTCTTATGCTCACTCAAGGAGGCCATGGCACGTTGACCACACCAGACTGGGTTTCAGGGAATGGGCCTGCCAGGTGCCAAGGAGCCAAACAGATGGCTTTCCAGGCAGCAGGGTCCTTGGGGCCTTCTTGAAGGAGCTGAGTGATGGCCAGGTGAGCACCCAAACCGCAGACCCTCAGGTGCTGTGTGCCTGGCCCCCTCTGTACTGACCATTTGTGGCCAGGGCCAAGACCTGTGACTCAACTCCAGGGGCAAGATGGGGAGTAAGTTGATGGCTCCAAGACTGGTGGGGAGCCCAGGCCAGGGAGATGGGGCCTGGAGCCCTGTCTGTGTCACATTAGGTACCATGGGAGCTGGTGAGACCTGACATTTGGTCCTTTTCTTCATGGCTTAGCCCATGGAGAAGGAGCAGTGAATGGGATTGTCGGGGAAGCCCCCCTCTTCCTGCTCTGCTCCCCTGGAAACTGTTGCGAAACCTTTAGCCGCCTCATGGCAAATGCCCAAAGCATGTTCCACACCCGGGCGGGGGCTGCTGCTAATGAGAACCTTGGTGCAGCTGCTGCCAGGAGGGGAGCGGGCCGGGAGCTGGGGAGCCGGGGAGCCGGGAAGCCGGGTAGCCGGGTGCCCGGCCTTGGTCCAGCTGGTTCCTCTCTGGCGCCTTCTGGACCTGCCTCAGCAGGTCCACATCACCTGGGCAGAGAGGTTAGAGACTAGGGGAGGCCGGGCCTCGCCCTTCCTTCTGCCCACTGTTCTTGATGGAAGACCCTTCTGGGGGACCAGGGAGCTCAGGAGACAGAAGAGGGCAGGGTACCCCCTGACTCCAGACAGATGAGGGCAGGGAGTGGCTGTGGCCCAGGCAGCCAGTTCTGGTATTGTTCTCCCTGCCTGCCCTCCATGGCTGGGGCTGCCACCCCACCCGGTCTGAATCTGTCTTGACCTGCAGGAATACACAGGCGGCGCCAGGCATTACCTCACAGCGGGACTACACAGTTGCTGGCTTTGCTTCTGGGCAAGGAGGAGCAGGCCAGAGCCTCTTTCGCTTCCTTTTCTTGCCCATGCTGCTTCTAGAAGCCAGGCACAGGTTGCCAAGAGGTGACACGAAACAGGAGGAAACTCGGTGACCTCTGCCTCTCCCGAATTCCTCCCCGCGGGGGAGGACCTTGCCACTCTGAGAGCACTGTGCCATGTTGGGTGCACGAACGTGGTTTAGTGTGGACGGGACGATCTCCGTGGATGAACTGGGTCTGGACTCCTAGGTTCACAAAATGTTCAAGGGTCTGGGAGTCACAGACCCTCTCCTCTCCTCAATGCACTTTGGTGTCTACACGGTGTCTTCCCCGGACAGCACAGCAATAAATGGTGTGATTGCGTGGACACGGTGGCTGTTCTTGGCCAGGTTTCCCCTCCTTCTGCCCAGGACTCCAGTGCTAATTCGGGACCATCTTCCTCCCCAAGGAAGACAAATTCTTTTTCTAGCACTGGAGCAGGGAGGTGGGGTGGGTGGTAAACAGCCAGGCTCTGGCAGTACAGATCTGCTCATCCCCAGCGCCTGCCAGAGACTCTTGGCTGAGCAGTGCCACCTCTGCCAGGCTGACCTTCAGCCGAGAGCCTGCCCACCCCACAGACACAGTGAGGGGAGGGCCCACGTGGGAGCATCTGTGTTCATGTCTCATCTGGGTGTGTTGGTGTTGCGCGTTGTATGCCTGTTTTCATCATCAAATAGGCCTGATACTTAAAACCTTGTCTTTAAAGTCAAGGCAGCAGCGAGCTATGATTGCACCACTGCACTCCAGCCTGGGCAACAAAGTGAGACCCTGTCTCCTAAAAAAGAAAATTCGCAGGTGTGTTCTCAGGAGAAAAGAAAAATTAACACATAGAAAAATAAACCCTTCGTCCCTAGATGCGTGTGGAGGGGTGGGGAATCCTCTGAGAGGGGTTCCCAAGAGATATGGTAGGGCAGACTGACAACTTGGAGGAAAAAGAGCCAGACAGTGGCTTTCGGCTCATGTTATGACCGATGGCTGAGCTGCTTTTTAAAATACCAATGCCCAGTGCCCCATCACCAGTTAAATCAGTGTTGCTGAGGGTAGGCCCAGAGTCAAAGCTTTCCGGGTGGCTGTGAGTGGTAGCTCACGCCTATAAATCCCAGCACTTCGGGAGGCTGAGGCAGGAGGATCCTTGAGGATAGGAGTTTGAGACCAGCCTGGGCAACATAGCGAGAGACCCCGCCCCCATCTCTAGTAAAAATTTAAAAATTAGTTGGACATGATGGCATGTGCCTGTGGTTCCATCTCCTCAGGAGACTGAGGCAGGAAAATCACTTCTCACTTGAGCGTGGGAGGTCAAGGCTGCGTGAGCCACGATCATGCCGCTGCATTCCAGCCTGCGTGACAGAGCAAGACCCTGTCTGAGAAAAAAAAAAACAACCAGGTGACCCTACTGTGCTCCCATGGTTGAAAACTACTAAGCTAAATAATGGGAACAAAGAGCCAAACATCATTGCCCGGCTGACTGGATATGGGCTGGTGGGTCCCTTAGACACTGAGAGAAGTGAACTGAAATAAAAGGGTTTAGTTCCATCATTTGCGAGGTATTTGTCCTCAGAGGGTACAAGGATTCCTCCCACTTTCCAGGGGCCAGAAAGACAAGAGGGCAGGCAAGAGAGATGAGGGTGCTGGGAAAGGGGCCTTGGAGGTTATCATGACACTTAGATCTCTACCGTAGAACACTTGATATATTTTATTTGTTCATTTTATTTGTTTATTTTATTTGTTCATTTTCCTTTAAATTTTAGTAAAATTCTTTTTTTTCTTTTGAGAGTCTTGCTCTTTCACCCAGGCTGGAGTGCAGAGGCCTGATGATGGCTCACTGCAGCCTCGACCTCCTGGGCTCAAGCAATCCTCCTGCCTCAGCCTCCTAACTGGGACTTACAGGTGTGCACCACCTCACCTGGCTAATTGTTTCTGTTTTGTAGAGACAGGGTCACCACTACGTTACCCAGGCTGGCTTCAAACTCTAGCCTTTAAGCAATCCTCCTGCCTCAGCCTCCCAAAGCACTGGGATTACAAATGTAAGCCACTGTGCCTGGCCAAAGTTCTTTTTTATTTCGAGGGAGTCTGTCACCCAGGCTGGAGTGCAATGGTGCAATATCAGCTTAGCTCACTGCAACCTCTGCCTCTAGGGTTCAAGTGATTCTCCTGCCTCAGCCTCCTGAGTAGCTGGAACCACAGGCACATGCCACCATGCCCAGTTAATTTTTTTGTGTTTTTAGTAGAGACAGGGTTTGGCCATGTTGGCCAGGCTGGTCTCCAACTCTTGACCTCAACTGATCCACCTGCCTAAGCCTCCCAAAGTGCTGGGATTACAGGCATGAGCCACTATGCCCAGACGCTTACTTAAAAAAAATCCTACCGTGATTCAGCTAGGCTGAGGGGAAATGAAGACAAGGTTTGGTCTGGCGTGGGCTGAAGTTGTGAAAAGGCAGAGGCAGGAGAGCCGGGGGAGGGGTCCACACCAGGGAGGCTCAAGGACAGAGCTGAGGCAGCACTTGCAGTTCCTGTCCCACGTGAACCTCCCCCAGGGCCGCCCACTACCCAAACCTTGGAGGGCTCAGAGCTGTGTTTCATGAGGGATGGGTCCCCTCAACAGTCACATCCCAGGCCAGCAGCCCAGCCTGGACAGCAGGCTGGCCCGCATTGTCAGTGCACTGGGAAAGACATAGGTGGCTGTTGGTGGCACAAGGGGAGGAGCAGCTCTTGGACACAGTCCCCATCACTTTGTCCCCACAGAGACATCTAGGCAGGGAGGCAAGGTAAGCAACACCTCTTTACTCAGCAAGGGGCTCCTCCCAGCTGTGAGTGCCTGGAAGAGTCGGGATGCAGGCCTCTCCCAAGGAAGACACAGAATGTGATGACAAGACGCCATTGGGAGTGCAGAAAGCTCCCCATGTCCCTGGGGAGAAGTGCCAGTGTGTCGGCAGAGTAGCCGGGTCCTGAGCTTTGGACTCCTTGCTTGGTTAAAGGCACTGTCCCTGTGTAATCTAGAGGAAAACTCCTTAAAGTATCTATCCTGGGGACCAGGAAAGCCACCCCTGCTCCCAATGCAACAAGATCCCTGGTCGCCAGCCTCCTGCCTCCCTCAGAGGGAGACAAAGCCACACTGGAGGGAGCACAGCCGCCCACCTCCTCGTCACCTCCTCCCCCTCCCTATCTGTTCACTGGGACGACGGAGGATCCGTGAAGCCGCTGGAGGAGTTGGCTTTGCAGTCCTTCCTCCGTCACCTTCCACCAAGTAAAGCTGTCACCCCGAACCTTTGGGGGTTCATCCTGGATCCCTGGGCTCCGAAAAGCCACGGTCACCAGCATGTTCAGACAGATACCATCAGTGTGATCTCGGCCCAGGTGCTGCAGTCCAAGCAGCCCCTTGATCTCAACCACTAAGTGGTGCAGGGTCAGACACTCCTGCAGCAGCCGCAGGACAGCCATCTTCATGCCACCCCTCTGTTCCGTAGGGGCGAGGCCACAGGCAGTGACAGGCAAGTGAGGCATCCCCACTGTGCCAACCAACACCCACACTGTCTGCACACTGGTAAAGGTGGTCACGAGCCGCTGGCAGACCAGATCACAGGGCAGCTCTTGGGGCAGAATAAGAGGGTGCCTGGCTTGCTGGCGATACTGGGCAGCTAGCTCAACCAGGTGCAGGATGTCATGGGCTCGCAGCGGAGTGGGCAGGGAGGTCCGTGGGTACCAGGCAGCCTGCAGGGACTCTGCATCGGCCTCCTTGGAAGTCTTGAGAATTCCACCTGGGGGAGATGTGGGGGATGGGGCAGGGAGGGTCTGTGTGGAGAGAAGTGCAGGGCTGGCAGCGTCAACAGACATCCCTGACCCAGGTGCGAGGCCCCCAGCCTGTAGGCTGGAATCTGCCCATGCCAGACTGTGCCAGCCATAACAGGACTGACTGTGGAGGGGCTCACCTCACCAAGCAGCTGGGGAAAAGATGTCAACTGGCCCTGTTCACACTGCCTCCAGGTAGGCCATACCTGTGGGGCGAGCGAGGAATACGAAGCGGACCCAGGAGGGGCCCCGCTCCTCCACGGACAGCAGTGTCTCGGGCTCACAGTGCAGCCCCGCCTCCTCCTTCACCTCCCGCTGCAGCGCCTCCACGATGGACTCCCCCGGCTCCATTCTCCCCGCGGGCAGGTACCACGACCCCCGGCACTCTCTCTTGGCCTCCTGGACCAGTAGCACCTCATCCTGAGGGGAGAGAGCATCTTCACTTCCTGCCATAGCCTTCCCGAGCCCCGGGACCAGGGGGCATCTCAAACACAGTCGCCCAAGACTCGCCTCTGGGTAGACGCGCTTAAACCAGCAAGCGCTGCGGGAGACCTGCCGTCAAGTTGCTGGGGGCTGCAACCTTCTCCTCCCTGCAATTAGTCCCTTTCTGGAGTTAAGACTTCCACTTCAGAAAGGGCTGAGATTCCTGGAAGCTGCTTCAGGGGCTGGAGATGAGGCCCCAGAGTGAGGGTCACCATGTGTCAGTCTTGCACTGATTTACGTCTGTACATGTCATTGGGTATCTCTTGTCTCCAATGGCGTGGCCTATGAACTGTTTGTGATGGACTCCCCACACTGGGGTCTGGCTTTGAAACACGACCCACGACGTCCACCTTGTACAGCCCTGCGCTATGGCCCTGGCCCCTTCTAGTTGCCCAGTACCAGGATCGGCACCAAAGGCCTGAGGTAAGCCAGGGCTGAGCCACTGCTTTCTGAGGGGCCCTGAGCACTCTGCTAGACTCTGGGGAAGGGAAGGAATGAGGCCTAGTGGGATGAGACAAACAGGCCCCGAGCCTGAGGGTCCTCTTCTCCATATTGGGACGATCGCAGGACACAGATGCGAGTGGGAGTGCTTTGCAAAACTGGGCAGCGCCATGCACGCGGCAGCGCTGGCTGTGGCCGTTGGGTCTTCCGTTCCCACCTGGGCTGGTTGCGCGCTCCCGAGGCCCTGCGGGCCGGGCTGGCGGCCGCTCACCTGCTCGCTGAGGAACACGGCCAGCACCACGTAGCACACGTTCTTCCGCAGCCGCACTGGTGCCGGTGGCTCCCCGGCCGGCGCCGAGTCGCAGCTCTGCACGCGCAGCCCCTGGCCCGCCAGCACGGCCGCCAGCACGCCTGCAAGACCCTCGGAAGCCATCTGGTCCCCCGGGAGGCGACGGCCCGGGTCCTGGCAGACCCGTCAGGCCGGACCGCGGGCGAGTGCCGGATCCGGCACTCTCTCCCAGTTCCTGCAGCAGTGGGCCTGGCGCGCGCGCGAACGCGGAAGCGCACGCGAGCCCGGGTCGCTGATAGGCTGCGCGGCGCCGCGGCTGCCCGGATTGGCCGGCCCGTGGCAGTCACCGAGGGGGCGGGGCCTCCGGGGAACTGGGTGGGCTCCCGGCCGGAACTCCGCGGACTCCCACCCTGCTTCTGCCGCTGGTCTGTCCCGCACACTCGGGACGTCTCACAGCTGCCCCCTTCTCCAACTGCCTGAGCGCGCACTGGTCCGTAGGGGCTCCGACGGTCAAGTTATACCTCCTGCAGGGTGCGTTTCGCCGCCGGGGCAAGCGACAGTGACGTGACAAGCCAGGTGACGTCACGGAGGCCCGGGGCCGCCCCTTAGACCTACGGTCCCGCTGTTGCCGTAAACACACTACGGCATTGCCGGAGATGATCACATACGAAATAACTGTTCTCACTCTCCTAAATTGTTATATCATGTGGCTCATGGGCTGGGGGACATAAACCCCTGCCTTTCAGGAGATTCTGTTGTAGTTGGAGAGATGGGCCTAGTCCTAGATAAGGAATCAGCTGACGGTTCGAGGCTAAATGCTAAAGGCTTGGCTTGGGCAGGGAGAGTGACCGGAGCTGGAAGAGGGAGTGGGCAGGGCTGGGGGTGGCGGGAGAGGTCAGGGGCTGAGAGAGGGCTGCAGTCAGCCGGCCCACCCTCATCAGTGGCCCTCTGCCCACCTCATTTCCCACACAGCTCAAGGCCCTCGCCGCTGCAGATGGTGCGTCCTGGGAGGGCGGGGGTGGGGCCCTGCTCCTCCATCCTTGTCGTCACCCTCCCACCCAGCGTGCAGGACCTGGCGCATGGAGAGCAGGGTGGGGGTTGTGGCTAGCACCGGCTCCTCTCCCATCCAGGCCTTTCCTCCTTCACCCGACTTTCAGCACTGGAAGTCAAGGCCAGCTGGAAGGGATCTGTGAAGCAGGCCGTCTGGCTCCTCATCCCACAGAAGCCACCCCTTTCCTCTTCCTCGGCTGGTTTTTTGCACCTCCCTGCTGGAAAGGCAGGCTTGGTGGTGTGGACAAAGCTCGATACCTGGAGCCAGATGGCCGGTTGCTGCTGGCTGGCTTGCTCTGTGCCCCTGGGTGAGCTGTGGGCCTCAGTTTCTTGATTTGTAGAGTAGGGTCATAACAACTCTTGTTTCACAGGGGTGTTAGGAAAGCATGACAATCAGAGAGGAGCTGTGTGGATTGTCCAGTGCTGGGCACCACCCCCCGGGCAGCCCACCAACCCTCAGGGGCGGGCCCTCTCGGGCCTAGCTCTTCTTGCTACCACACACAAGGCCTGTTCTCATGATATGTGCCTTTTGTTACCCCCTAGAGACAGGGTTTCATTCTGTTGCCCAGATTGGAGCTGCAGTGGTATAATCACAGCTCACTGCAGTCTTGAGCTCTTGGGTTCGAGCTATCCTTCTGCCTCAGACTCCTGAGTAGCTGGGACTGCTGGGACTGCAGCAGACACCACGTCTGGCTAAGTTTTTAATTTTTAATTCTTTGTAGAAATAGGAGGGTCTTGCTATATTGCCCAGGCTGGTCTCGAACTCCTGGCCTCAATGATCCTCCCGTCTTGGCCTCCCAAAGCACTGTGGTTGCAGGCATGAGCCACCACGCCTGGCAAAATGTGCCTGTAGAGCTGCCTTAGAGCTGAACTCAGGAACTTCAGCCATGCAGGATGTCTTTTCAGGCTCCTCTCACTGATACCACAGGCTCCCTGGTGGCAGGGCCCTGTGTTAGGCTGTGGGATATCCCTAGAAGGCCCATGAATTTTGAGGCACTTGCTGAACGCCACTGGGCCAAGCCTTATCCTGGACCCCTCACTTCCCAAATAACTGCAGGGACAGGGCTGAGAGTCAGGACCCCAGGACTGCAGAGCAACTTGTCAACATATTTGCTGTGTTTGTGTGCACGTGCGCGACTCTCTCAGTTTTCCCACCTGTGAAGTGGGGGCAGCTTGGTGCCAGACTCCTGTCTGCCTCCCAGGGATGATTTGAGAGAATGAGATCATGTCTGGGCAGGGCTCTGGGAGCTTCAGAGGCAGCCTAAAGTAAACACCAGAAGGCCTCAGAGAGCAAAGACCGCAGCAAACCCAGGCTTGGTGCCGCCCATTATCCCATCCTGAGGGGAAAGTCTTCCCCAAAAGCCCCTCATAAACTGTGAAGGCAGTGCCGAGACAACAAAGAGGCAGGCGTTCCCAAGGCCTTGGGAGAGAATAGCGGTCAGATGAAGGCTGGAGAGGGGGAATGGGAGGCTGGATGGGAACTGCCAGGGTCCCCATCAAGTCAGCTGTGTGTCCTCCAGTCTCAGAGAAGGAAGAACCCTGGCCAGTGTGATTGGCTGCATGGCATGGTGGATGGGAGTAGCTTGATGCTCCCAGCACCCATGGGAACGAAATGGGAGTCAGTTGTTTCAGGGCATGTGTGGGGGAGCAGGAAGGCCTGGGTAGGTGGTCACGGGGGTAGGGATAGGGACAGGCAGGCAAGGTTGGATCAGGGTGTCTGTGATGTTAGCATCATAGATAGAGCAACAAGGCCTGTGCCTTGACAAGGAACGAAGGTGAGGCGGGCAGGAGCCCAAGCTACAGGGGGAGTGGGAGGGCTGGCCACAGGCTAGCTCTCTGCGGGACCCTGGGGATGCCACATCTACCCTCCAGGCCGTCTGTCAAATCCAGGCATTGCTGGATCCTGGAACAGAAAAAGGACATTAGTGAAAAATCTGGTGAAAGCCCAGTGAGGTCTGTTGCTTCGTTAGTAGTGTGGTATCAATACTAATTTCATAGTTTTGATCAAGGCACCACGGTTATGTAAGATGTTCACAATAGGGGAGGCTGGGTGAAGGATAATTGGGAACTTCCTGTGCTATCTTTGTGACTCAGCTGTAAATCTAAAATTATTTCAAAATAGAAAGCCTGAGCATGTATATTCAGGGCAACTTGAATCTATGCTCCTGGGTAAAAAGGGAAAAAAAGAGTCTAAGAATTTTATCAGAGGAAAAGAAAAGAAGGCATTGGATATGCAACCTCGTGCTCACTTCCAGCTTGGCTGGTTGTATGTCTGGGATATCTGGGTGACGGAGGGGCTGGAGGCAGAGCACAGCTTGGTAGACCCTGCGAGCAGCAGAGCCCCAAGGGTCTCTGTGAGGAACAGTGTCGCTGAGTGCCCCAAGGCGAGTCTCAGGGTCAGTCCCTACCTGGCCCAGCTGCGTTCTGAGGAGCAGTGCTGGAACAAATGAACATTGATTCACTTCTGTTTACAAAGAGTCAGACCAAATATGTCCTCGAGGGCATTGTGACCCACCTGGTAGGCCAGGGGGGTAAACAGGAGAGAAGGTCTTATGGGGAAGACAGAGGCTTAATAATGCACTGTCCCCACCACAATGGGTAAAATTTAGAGAACCATCTTTCCGCAGGAAAGACCCTGGATTTGGGGTGACATCAGGGCATGGCTACAGATGAAGTGGGGCACAGTGGATCATTCCTATAATCCCAGCACTTTCTGGGGCCAAGGTGGGCAGATCGCTTGAGCCCAGGAATTCGAGACCAGCCTGGGCAGTGTAGCAAGACCCTGTCTCTACAAAAACTACAAAAATTAGCCAGACATGATGGTATGCACCTGTGGTCCCAGCTACTCAGGAGGCTCAGGTGGGAGGATGGCATGAGTCCAGGAGGCAGAGATTGCAGTGAGCCGAGTTTGCACCACTGCATTCCAGCCTGTGTGACAGAGTGAGACCCTGTCTCAAAGAAAAGATGAAACTTAGGTAGTAATGGATCATTCAGGGCCACTTGGAACATGATCAGCTATAAAGCACATGCATTGGAAGGAGAAGGACAGAGAGGAGGGCAAGCCTGTCTTTAAACTCCAGTAAGAGCTAAGACTATAATGTACACAAAGTGGCTTGACTCAGAAAACTTGGTTCAAATCCCAGTTCTGCCACTAAAATTGCTGTGCGACCTTGGGTAATCTACTTAATTGCAGCTTGCCTGTTTCTTCTTCTGTAAAATGGAAATAAATCCTGTCTGTCTCAAAATTGTGATAATGGATTAACTGAGATCATTTAAATGAAAGGGATTAAATGAGATGAATTATTATTATTATATTGTTACTATTTTGGAGACAGAGTCTTACTCTGTTGCCCAGGCTGAAGTGCAGTGGCATGATCTTGGCTCACTGCAACCTCTGCCTCCTGGGTTCAAGCGATTCTTCTGCCTCAGCCTCCCAAGTAGCTGGGATTACAGGTGCCCACCACCACGCCCCGCTAATTTTTTTTGTTTGTATTTTAGTAGAGACAGTGTATCATGTTGGCCAGGCTGGTCTCAAACTCCTGACCTCAAGTGATCTGCCCACCTTGGTCTCCCAGAGTGCTGGGATTACAGGCGTGGGCCACCGTGCCTGGCCTTGTGGTTTTTTTTGTTTTGTTTTGTTTTGCTTTTGTTTTTGTTTTTGTTTTTGTAAATAAAGGATGGTTTTGTAAATCATGGCAAAGCCCCTTAATAGAATATAAGCAAGTCATTTAAAATGAAGGTTAGGTAGCAATATAGAAAATGATTATACGGTGTTGAAAGAAACCAAGGCCAAATCACAGCAATCCAGCCCTGTGCACAGGAAGTCCCTGGGAAAGCACTAGAGGAAATATGCCAGAATGCTCATTATTAGTTGGAGGTGTGTAATGATGGGCTCAAAGGTGACTTTATTTTCTGAATGTTCTGCAAGTATATTCTGCTTACAATAAAAAACTTTATTTAATTTTAAAAAAGCCCCCAAACCACAGCAGGAACAATTGGGTATAACAAGAGTGGGAGCATTTTTCTTTGTGGGGCTGAGATACACAAGAGAAGAGGGAGAGGGCACAGCGCCACCAGAAGCCTGTGGGCGTGGGGTGGGGACAAGGAGGGGTCACTATCTGAAGCAGTCGGGTTCATTCCCAGGCTGGGCCTGGTGCGCATCATGGCCACCAAGGGCAGACAGGTGGGGCAAGTGCTCTTC